AAGAGGAAGACGATGAGGACACACCCGTGGACTTCACGCCGGCCATGACGGGAGCAGTGGTCGCCATGTCCTGCTCCATCATGCTGCTCCTCTACTTCTTCTATGACTCCTTTGTCTATGTCACGATTGCCATCTTCGGCCTGGGCGCGGGCACCGGCCTCTACGGCTGCACGGCCCCCCTGCTGCACTACCTGCCCCCGCAACAATACCAGTGGCCCCTGCCTGGCCGCCGGGCCTGTCTGCGGCTGCCCCTACTGCTGCTGGCCGGCCTATGCGCGGTGGTGACCGGCCTCTGGGTGGCCTACCGCAACGAGGACCGCTGGGCGTGGCTCCTGCAGGACGCGCTGGGCATAGCCTACTGCCTTTTCGTCCTGCAGCGCGTGCGGCTGCCCAAACTCAAGAACTGCACCTTCTTCCTGCTGGCCCTGCTGGCCTTCGATGTCTTCTTTGTCTTCATCACGCCCCTCTTCACCAGGACCGGCGAGAGCATCATGGTGGAGGTAGCCGCAGGCCCGGCAGATTCCTTGAGCCACGAGAGGCTGCCCATGGTGCTCAAAGTGCCCCAGCTGAGCTTCTCGGCCTTGGCCCTGTGTGACCAGCACTTTACCATCCTCGGCTTCGGCGACATCGTGGTCCCAGGCTTCTTGGTTGCCTATTGCCATCGTTTTGATGTGCAAATGCACTCACGCCAGGTCTACTTCATGGCCTGCACCGTGGCCTACGCCGTGGGTCTGCTGGTCACGTTTGCTGCCATGGTCCTCACGCAGATGGGCCAGCCTGCCCTGCTCTACCTGGTGTCCAGCACCCTGCTCACCAGCCTGGCCGTGGCCACCTGCCGCCAAGAGCTCACCCTCTTCTGGACTGGCCAGGGCAGAGCCAAGACACCCGCCCAGCCCATGGCAGGGCTCTGTGGCACTCATCCAGGTGGCTCTAAGCAGAAGCAGGAGGACACAGCAAACGTCCACACAGCCAGGGAGCCTGAGGGGGCCACCGACCTTTTGGCAGGGGACTTAGACGGCAACCTCAGGGAGGACACAGCCATGACCGTCACCACATCTGAGGACGAAGCCACCAGTCTGGTTGGCCACAGTGACAGCTCTGAGGGCTGGAGTGATGCCAACCTGGACTCTGATGAGCTGTCTCTTGTCTCCCCCAGGACCTCAGAGGAACTGATGCCGCTGATGCCACTGATGCCATCACCCTCAGAGCTGGGCCATGCACACACCTACGCCTATGCCCAGGCCCAGGCTCAGTCTCAGGCTCAGGCTGCTGACCTGCCCTGGAGGAGTCTGCACAAAAGGAAGGGTTTTAAGGTAAAGAAGAGCATGTCGACCCAGGCTCCCTTGTGAATCAGGCCCTAAGACATATGCCCCCAGAGGGTGGGCAGATATCGCAAAGCAAAGACACACGTGGCAAAAAGAAATCGGGGCATTAAAGATTTTCCAAATCTACCCAGCAGAGCCTCTTTGTTTGTTAGGATGGTGAGAAAGCAGCCATGGAATAAGGCCACGCAGGGCCCAGAGGGTCCTTAGAATAGGGCACCACCCTAAATCGCACAGAGGGGGAAACTGAGGCTCAAAGAGGGCACACGACTTACACAAAGTTACTCAGCTAGGTCAAGATATTCTCCTAGAGCTTGCCAGGCAGTGATTTCCTCTATCCCTGCCTCCCCAACACCCATCCCAAGTCAGAGCCGCAGCTCCTTAGCCTGGCAGGCCCCATCCTGTCCCTGTAGCCCATCCCAGCTTCATCGCCCATCTCTTCTTCATGCTCAAGTCCAACTGAACCATTACTATTCCTTGACCATACCATGTCCTCTCCCTCTCTTTTTGTACGTGCGGTGCCCTTTGGCTGGGATGCCTCCCCATTCCAGACAGATTCCCCAAATCATCTCCCTGGCTCACTAAAACATTTCTTAGCATCCTTCAAGCATCAGCTCACATCCCTCCTTTCTGGTAAACGACCCTGCTCGCTGCATCCTGGACAACAGCAGCACGCCCAGGTGTGTCTGCACATACACTGAGTGTGCACCTGCTGTGTGCATTATCCTGTGATGGGCATCCAGGAAGGCTGCTCTCTAGCTGGGGGGTGGATAGGAAATGGAAAATAGACAAGAAACAACCTGAGAATTGTCTTAAAGTGGAAGATAGAAGGGTTGGAGCTGGAGTAGAAGAATTGAGACCATGGCTCTATTTCCCATGCTTCCTTCATTGACTCTGGATAATCGACAAGTCTCTTAACCCTCTGGGCCTCAATAGTCTCATCTTCAAAATGGGACTTATAATGCCATGTCCACCTAAAGACAGGTGCATGGACAAGGTGATCTGTTGGGGACACACATGTACACACTCACACTGTAGCATTTATATACGGAACACTCCCACAGTTTTTTAGGCGAAATGGTGTCCATATGTTGCTTCAGCAGAGTGCACAAACTCTGGGTTGAGGGAAAGCTTCCTAGAGGAGGTTATTGCAGAGAATCATAGCCTGTGGGCAGAGTGTGGCACAATGGTTAGGGTTCTAAAGCCAGTTGCCCACCAGAAATTCCTGCTCTACTACTGACCTGTACTGTCATTGAGAAAATGGCTTAACCTCTCTGTGCCCCAGTTTCCTCATCTGTAAAATGGAATAATAATAGGACCCACCATAGGGTTTGGGTGAGGTTTAAATGTGTTGGTTTATGTAAGGTGATTGACAATATGCCTGCATGTAGGATGAGCTCTATGAATGTTAACTCTATTTATATTGTGTCCCCTCATAAAAGCCTTTCAGAATCAAATCCTACAAGGCCTTTGAGTTCTGGCCCCGACTTCCTTCCCATTTCCCTCCATACCCGGTATTCCTGACCCTACCATCACTCAGGAGTGGACAACAGATCCCACCACACCTGTCTTCCCACACAGGGCCCTCCCACAAGCTGGCTCCTCTCCCTGGAGCTTTGCCCTCCTTCCTCCTCCCCCAGAATTGGGCCTGCCCAGCCCTTCCCCTCCAGTTCCAGCTCAAATGCTCCCTCCTGGGGGAGGCCTTCCATGATTATTCTTTCTAAACTAGCCCCCCAGCCTCAATCATGTTACTGTACACCCTGTTCGCCAGTTTTTTCATCTCCCCCAGTGGACTGTCAGCTTCATGAGGGCAGAGACCACTCTGTCTTGTTCAGATGAGTAATTCCAGGGCCTAGAACAAGGCCTGGCATTTAGTAGACGCTCCATTTATGTTTGTTGGAGAAACAAATGAATGAATGGATGAATGAATGAGGAATTAATCCATCTTGAACCATAGGGGAAGAGGGGACACTGCGAGGTAAGATGCCCAGGCCACCTTCCTGAGGTCCTGCAGGGCCTAGTGAGTGTGGAGATGTGACTCTAAGGGGACTGGGTGGGTACTGGGGGTGGGGAGTTATGGGCTAGAGGGGGTTCAACTAATGGGCATCTTTTTAAAAAAGCCCTACTTCCTGGTTTCCTTGGTACCTGAAGGCCTGGGCTAGACAAGGGCAGTGTGAGGAACCAGGGCCAGGACCCTGACGAAGGTGTTGACAGTCCCTCCTACTGGAGCCAGGGGCCATCTGGCCTAGACAGAGGGGCCTCCACAGGCCCTGGCTCATCCCCAGGCCAGGCAGCCTCCCCACTGCTGATCTGCGTCACTGGGCCTGCCAGGGATGGGCTACATCCTCCTCCCCCACCCCCTCCCCCTGCCAGGCCCAAGGAGGCAGGCCGGACAGAGCCAAGCTTCTCTGTACCCCCCTACTCCCAGCCTGGGGGACAAGGGAGCTCCTCTCTCTCAGAAACTTGCAGTCAGGGTGGCTCTGAGGACGCTGGACTTGAGCTCCCTGCAGAGGGGCGGATGCCTGGCACCAAGGAGAGGATTCCCTGGGGGAAGCTCCGGCCCCGTCCACATCTCAACACCACAGGCTAAGAAAAGGGCGAGTACGACTCTGTCCTTATTGCTTTACCCAACAGAGGCTAACACTCAAGAGCATTTCCTCTACAAAACGGGGAGAATAGCCTCAGGGGCTGAGCCTGGGCTCCCGAATGCACATAGTTCTGCTGCTGCTGCCGCTCTGTGATGACCCAGGGTCCCCCGCCCCAGAGCCACGCTCCTCTGAGCTTCGGGCTCAGCCTTCCTTTGCCAGTCCCCTTCCCAGGGACTGGACCAAACCCAGCTGGTGTCCAGTCAGAGGTGCCCAGACTGGCAGCCCCCACCTGAATGCCAGAGGACCAAAGGTACTGCACGAGTATGTACACCCATGTACACACATGTAGACACATGCCCACATCCATACTGTATCCTCAGGCACACATACACATATGCACCTTCACATCCCCCACACACACACGTACACACGTGCACCAGAGCATATAGATACTGAACACTCCCATATAGCTGTGCACGCCCTACTACACACGTGCACACACATACACATACACCTGGGCTCTGACATATTCCGCTATTCTCTTCAGATCCTGCCTTCCCCTCCAGGCTATCCTGGGCCTGTGGGAGTGGGGGTGCTGATGCCTGGACTTCCTACCCCAGAGGGCAGGGTGGCCCTTTTCTGGACAGGCGGACACTGAGACAACATTCAGACCCTCTTTGAGGAGGATGGCTGGCCAGCAGCAGCCTCCGGCAGGGGCTGTCTCAGCTTTCCAGTCCAAGTTGCTCTTCGGGGAGATGGGGGACACGGAGAGCCAGCTAATGATGAAGCAAGACAGCAGCACCAGGAGCTGCCATCCGCCCAAAGCTCCTCCTCTCACAGGCAGGGGCTGCGGAGTGATGCCAGGTTGCTGAGCTGGCAGAGACGGTGGCAGGCCTGCATCCCGGTCTGATGGCTCCCCCTGCACTCACCTGCTTCCTCCTTCTCCTTCTCTCCTTTTGCATTCTAAACTCATCTCAGTGTCTGCTCCCTGAAGAGCCCAACCTGTGACAGGTGAGACCTAAGATGGGCCAGGGGAGGAATAGTCTCCCAAGGCCATCCTAGGGGTCCAGGTGGCCAGTCCCAGCCCTGAGGCTGTCTTTGCTCAGGCTGCCCAGTAATGATCTCTGTGGTTTTGTTTAATCTCGGCAAGAAACCCATGAACAGAATAGGCACAGGCTTGGTTTTTCAGTCAATGAAGCGCTTGGTAGTCTGGACTCCCTGGAGAGTGAGAACCAGCCAGGACCCACGAGCTGTTCTAATCCACAAAAGAGGAAAGGAACGCTCAGGGAGCATCAGGACTTGCCCAACATCACACAGCAATGACACAGCAGAAATAGAACAACTCTCTTCTTCTGCCTCCCAGCCTAGCAGCTGGGTCAGCTCCTGTCAACAACCCCCTCCCCTCCACACAGCCCGGGCTGCAAAACTTGTCTCCCCGGGAAACTCTGCATCGACCCACTCCTTTGCCTGTGCCCCTCAGTAGGGATAGCCCTCCATTCTCGCTGAGTAGTTGTGTGTGATGTTTGATAAGGAAAGTTGCTGATTCAGCATCAAGCATCTCCTCAGCTAGGCAAGGGGGCACGGCTGGACTCCGAGACACTGAGACCTGGGTTCAACGCCCTGTGTTGCTGCTCGCTTGACACTTTACAACTCAGGCCACCCCACTGTGCCTCGATATCCTCGCCGGTAAAATGAGCTGCTAAGACCTCCCTGTGGGCTTGTGGTAAAGATCAAATGAGGTGAGGTGTGTGCATAAACAGCTAACATTTGCCGAGCACTAACAACAGTTAGTTATACATGTTATCTCATGAAATAACGCCCAGAACGTGATAGCCGCCAAATGTTACCCTTCCCAAATCAGCTTCCAGTTCCTCGGGGCTGAGCTCCCGGAGGTGGATCCATCCTCTTCCCTTGGTCTTCCCCTCCCATGCCCACTGGGATGTGGTGTATAGGTGGGTGCCTGGTGGCTCACCAGGGTCACCACCACCACAGAGTCGGGAAGAGGGATCCCTCTGCAGTTTGACTAAAACAGGAAGGTTTTGTGCCTTTTTTTCCCTGGAATCCTGAAGTTTGAGAGCTCCTGTGCTGCCACCTGCTGGTCAGTACAATAAGAGCAGGCGAGCTCACACCCAGGAGCATTCCATTAGGGAACTTTGGAATAATTACAATGAGGGTGATATCCAAATCCTATCCTATATAATAAAAGGGTAATATGCAAATTGACCAAATGGCAGACTGACCTGAACACCCTCCCCCGCCCCCGCTGGCCCTGCCCTTGAGCAGCCCCTCCACCCCAATGGGGGGCGGAGGGGCGGCCAGCAAACCGCAGCAACCCCTTGCCCCAGGGGCCCGGCCCTTCCCTATGGCCCCCATCCCCCCATTGGGCACAGCCGGCAAGACCCCACCAGTGCAGGAATTGGCAGAGGTCTGAAGCCTTAC